ACAATCAAGATGCTTTAATTCAAGGGATTTTGTGAAATTTGTTGCATTAAGTGTACTGAGGCAAAACTAACAAAAATTGTGTGTACACTTTTAAAGATTTACATCTCGCTCACGCTCAATTGCAGTTCTTGCTGCCAAAGGTGGCACAACCAGTTATTAGGTTTAGGGAGGAATTACTTTTTCACATCAGGCGAGGTAGGTATGGATAGCCTTTATCCATTAATAAATGAAATCTTCATTTAATAAAATAGTTTTTATCTAATACTAAAATTTGTTTGATGAACTGTGGCAAATACAAAAACACTTCAACGACACTAAAAACTGAGGAAGGGGGCGATTACATTTTCACAGCACTGAATAGTCAACTAAATGAAAATTACTTTGTTCAGACTCTGTTGGCAATATAGAGCTCGATGCAGATAGAAGGTAAGATAAAAGTGTTACCAGAGAGCGATTATTGAATGTAAGTGTTTATTTGATGGTGGAAGAACTTTCATATAAACTCAGTTTATAACTCAAGCTTCTTTTCTGTGGTTTTGCAGGAGAACACGTCGGACTGCGGGCGAGGTCACTCCTTCCGCCCATCCCTCTACACTTTACTGCTCATTCAGCTGCTTCTGCTTTATCCAGCTGTCAGTCCTCACCTTCTCTCCCTACTACATTAATTTCATTTTCCTGCACTTGTCCTCCTTTTCACCCTCCTCAGCTTCTGTCCCATCCTAAGCCCCCCTCATCCACCTCCTAGCCCCTTCGCCCTCCGCCTTGGTATAGTCATAGGTAATTATGGGACTTCCCATCATGGTGAGTTGGAAGCCCTGAGCGCTGCGCTACCCAGCTTGCTTTGGTCTGTGTTGCTTTGTGAAAACAGAGAGACATTTGCGTCCTCACCTTCATCTGCAAGATGAGCTAGGGTGGTGCTGGACCACTTGGATCATCAGAGGCAATGTCAGAAAAGAGATATCAAGCCACCCAACCACCCCGTCAAGCCTACAACCATCCCACCACCTTCTCCATCCAGACAAGGGAGGGTGAAAAGGACAGGCCGATGTCCTCGACAAAGACCTCCCACCACAGACTGGAGAACTGAGGTTGCGTGTCCACCTTCACCTCTGTCTGTCAGAGGGACAGCAGGACTCCTCCTCCTCCTCCTTTCCTCCATCTCAGAGTCTCATCGCTCTGTCATTTGCCTCTTGTAAGAGGCTGTGGACCATTCAGCCAGTAATAGCCACCATAGAAGAAAAATAGCAGAAAAATAAAAGAACTGTTAAGTATACAAAATGTCACATATAAACTGCTGAAGTGATGAGTATTCTAAACATACAGTATATTTAGGTTTTAACATGAAAAGGAAGTTAAGTGTAAAAAAGACAAGAATTCGTTTATGCGCTATATCTACTTGCCAAAATGAGATATACTTTCGTGTGGTCTTATTTTTATAGCCAAAACACGAAGATGAAATGGATTTAGATTTAGGATAAAGCTCGAGAGGAAGAGGAGACACTCGGCAGCTGAATGCTGACTCATAATTACAGATTAATGCTTTTAAAAGACATCCACTGGGGATTAATGTAATTACACGATGGTAATCTCATTTTCTTGAAGTATTTTTCCTCATACTTACTATTTGAGGTTAGTGCTATCTGGCTTTTATTGTAAAATATGAATCAGTGTTCGGTTGCTGCAGGAACTTGTTGTGTAGTATTCTCCTTTACGATTAATCGACCACGCTGACCTCGGCTTTGGACTGATGTTTAAAGGGGGGAAAAAAAATCTCTGCACCCTCTGATGAAAAAGCTCACCTCTGCCACTCCTCATGAGGCTTCTCCAACAACCTCGACTAACGCTCCTAACCGCGATTTGTATTCGTGCTTTACTTTTGTCACACAGCAAACACACTCAAATCTCCCCGCCATAGTAGTTCCAGTTTTTTTGTCCCTTCCTTTCTTCCTCATCTGTGCTTGGGTTGGGGGGGTGCTAATCATTTTTCTTTTGGTGTGTGCTTGTATTACCTTTGACTGATGCTGTTCAAACTTCAAAACCATTCGCTGCTGGGGGATAGGGGCTTATCAACATTTCCAACAAAAGTGCAGAAGAGGCCACTAAATATGGTGATCATGTGCAGTAAGTAGTGTGGTTGTAATCCATCGCAGTCCGTCATTTGATCATGTGTGAAAAGTCATTTTAGACTCCCATGTTTAGGAGCCGCTCTGTTTCATAGTGCCTTGATGCACTTTGTTTTGGAACGCACCGGCTGTATAAGAGTAGAGCTACTGTATAGTACCTTTATAAAGCAGCCGTCTTTGAGGCTTTGGACACTACAGGAGCCTAAGACTGAATCTGTTGGCTAAAGAAATAGCTTTACACAGAGCCATCGAACTGACTGGCTCAGCTTAATGTATTTTCCCCTCTTGGCTGTTGTTGCTGTACTCCTCCAACGCCACCTGACTGTCATCATATGGAGTTACTATACCGTTCCTTTACAAAGCCATGTATAGAGCTACACTATCAGTATACAGCGACTTAACTGGCCATAGAGCTTTTTTTGTGTTGTTTTCTTTTCCTTTCTTTTAGGGCCACCTGACTGCTATAGTTCTGCCTGAATCGTATGTGTTTGTGTGTGGATGTATGCGCGTTAGTTTAAAAACCCTCAAAGGGAATGTCTTTTTAAATGAGTCGTGGAGTGCTCGGGGGATGGCAGTTGTGCTCGTGTAACTGTTTTTCCTCGGCGTGTTGCGTCAGACAAAAAAACAAATCCAGTGTTGCTGTGGAGAAAAGGGGGGGATTTTATGAAAACAAAAGGAGATCCATGTTGACTGCTTAAATATTAATATACGGGGGCAGAGGAGGCAGAAAGAATGTGTAGTTCATCAGTGTTTTCTGTTTCAAAACCTCGCTAAATGCCTTAGTGTTACACGTATGGAGCTCCGATACCCCTACATAACCCTCTTTCTCACACACAAATCGATCCTGAAGTATTTCCCTCCCCTGGGCTTTTTTTTTTCTTGGTGTTATGCAGTAAATATAGTGAGCTCTAATTTTATATTTTTACGTCTCGGAATGATTAGTTATCGATCGATGCCTGTTTGATTAAATGCTTGAAAGTGGGTGGAAGTTTTTAAAATTAAAAAAAAAAAAGACAAAGAAAAAAAAGCCTCTGACCTTCGATGTTCACATCCCACCCGAGACTTGCCGTAGTATTGCTCAGGTGGGATGATTCACTCGACATTTTGAAGCTTAACTAGACACTCTGTACAGTCGTAGGTACTATTTGATGTGACAAATGTTGCTGGCACAGTAACTGCAGCTCAGCTCTGGACAAATCAGAGGAAAAACAAAATTCATACTGTTAAAGACAATGAAAATCAGAATGAGCATTTCCAATGTGGCCCGTTACTATCTGATGCTGGATGCAGTTTCACTTTTCTGCCATCTGTTTGTCTCTGTCCTGTGCCACTATTCTGTCTGTATTTCTCTATTTCCACTGTCTGTAAATGAACGCTACACGTGCCTGTGGAAATGTACCCCCTGCAACTTACTCTCCTTTTCCTGACTGTGTGCGCACACAATCTCACTCCCAAACTGAATACACTCTGTGCACCTGCACTCAGACATTATGCACACACACACACGCACACACCTAGAAGCAACCATGTAATGACACTGACTCATCCCCCGCTGGGAGATGTCAAACACCAGGAAGAAGTAAGCCAAGGACGTCACCTTCCAGGTGTTTTTATTTTATTTTATTTATTTTTTCGTGAGCGGACGGGATGTCAGAGGCAAGCTCAGGGAGTGGGTCTCCACAGAGCATCACGAGCCTGGTAAACAGAAGGTCGTGGGAGAGACATCTAGTGACGTCTGTGTGTGCATCCTGATGGAAAATAGCTTCCGAAGGGACACACATGTCTGATTTCTGTGGTTTGACAAATTTAATTTTGCCAAAAAAAAGGGAACATAAATAGATAATTGGACCAGCTTGGGGGACGAGAGGGAGGGGTCAGCTTTAAAACATCACCCTAAAGTAGATTAATGCGGGTTTTCACGAAGCGTCTCCCTTCCCCTCCACCGACCCTCGCTGCGACCCTTTGTGTTGGTGCGTCTATGTGGGAAAGACACGTGTGTATGTGATTCTGTAGTCTGTAGTCTGGTGCTATGTGACCATGTTTGACACGTGTGTGAAAAAAATAACAGCAACAATTTAGAGAGAAAAAAAAAAGAGTAAATTCAGTCAAACTTTCAGTGAAGTTTAAAAAAATATAGGAATACAGCACTGTTGATAAGTTTGAGATCTGATGTCAAAATTTTTCTTTTTTTTTTGGTTTTTCTTTTCTTCCTCGTACGTGTGTGAGTGTGAATGTTTGTATGTGTGGAAGATTTAGCTCCTTCTTTTCTGGGCACTAGTCCATGTCGTCGCTCCATTCTTTTGTACAGATGAAGCTTAAAAAAAAGAAGAAGAAAACAAAAAAGAAGAGGGCAAAATTTGTAAAATATTGTGTCTGTGACTCCTTGTAAAATATTTTCAAATTGTTTATTACAGAGAATCAGTTATTAAATAATGTTCATATTTTTCACTTCATTTTATTGTGTGGTGTTTTGTTTTTTGGGGGGGGTGGAAAAATTCCCCAGTAAAAATTCCAATCTGGCTGGAAAATGTGAACGAGTGCGTAGATTTTTAACTGTTTTTTTTTGTGGGTTTTACAGATTTTCCTATTGATAAAGACAGCACCACATTGCTATTCATACTATTCTAAAGTCATTAAGTAATAGATAAACAATTAAATGACAGAAAAGTTCCCGCTTTTCCACAATCTACCCAGAAACATCAGCTGGGTAATGAACTAAACTGTAATTTTACATGTTTCTCATGTACTTTCACTGGGCTGACCCACTTGAAGTCGAAGCTGTCTGTGGCCCGTGATGTAAAATCAGTTTGACGTTACCTGCTTTAACTCCTCGGTTAAATAGAAAACACACAGTCTGTCGAGAACCAAGCAAATATATAATAATTATGATGCTTTATTAAAAATATTCACTTCTAACGCTGGGATGAGACGATTAATACAACCCTGGTGTGTATGAGTGCAATGTGTAGGCAGCTAGCATTTGGCAAATGTAACATGGTGCAGAGACATGAAAGTGACCTGCAGCCTGCTCTCTTTGAACTTTATTCTGTTTGTGCCATTTAGACACATCACGAACATTTCCATGTTCATAACATGCTCCCTTCTGATTGCTTCATAATTACAGAGTTTCAGTGTGTGAGGCATAAAAGTGTCATTCTTTTATTAAAACTTGGGTTCAGTTATATTGAAAAATGGTCTTTGGCGAATTTAAGGCATCGTTCGTGCTGATTTCAGGCAGTTCTGTAATGATTACTGCAAAGTCAGATAAACTGCATTAGGACAGAAACACTGAGACATAAAAGCGACACATGTTTAACACATTTCTATCTTGCTTCGCAGCCTTGACCAGGTGCCCGTTGGAAGACTTGCAGTTTTGTGTGCACTCAACAAACACTAAAACAACCACGGTCATTTTATATGATGTTAGTGAACTGTAGCTTCAGTCACCTAAATTAAACCAAAATTACTCAAACGAAATATTTTACAATAACGAAACAGGAAACAAAGTTTCCAGAGTGGAAATACTGGACGCTGTTCAGTGATGTGGGTGAACCACGTGTCGTTATCCTACACGCCTGGGTTCAGTAGTCGGCTACAGACTTGAGCTTTGTGTTTAGTGTACAGATTCAAGACTGACATCAGGTTTTCTCATTTAAGAAACAATATTTCTCAAAAAGCTTCAGGCTTCAGGCTTTTTAAGGAAAAGTTCATCTGCTGTCACCATTAGAAAAGGCCCGATTTGCAGACGTATCAAAACATACAAATCAGGTTAAGCATTGGGAATACGCGAGTTCAATTCTTCACAAGTGATTAATGTGTTTGCCTATGCGTGACCGCATTCTTGGCGATCGCGCTGCTAATGCACAGCAAAGAGCTTCACAGCGTGTTAAGGAAGTCTGTAAGAGCTTTGTGCCAAGTGTCTGGGTCGTCCAGGTAACAGGGGTGGCCTGCTCCCTTCATCACCACCACTTTGTGATTGGCCAGATTGCTCAGGTTACGGAGCGACACCTCCCCGAGTTGATGGTCCTGGTCACCGTAAACGATCAGCGATGGGACCTGGACACAAAAATCACAACAATAATGAAAGAAAAGAAAAAAAGAGCCCTTTGCAGAGTGATTTCCACTGTCCTTTTTCTCGCATTTGAAAATCTGTCTCTCTTTTATTTGTTTTTAAATTCAAACCCATAGCTAAAGGGATTTTGCAGATGTCCTAAATTTCACCTCAAGCTGGAAAAAAAAAGGAAAGAAGGAAATCAAAACAAGTCCTGTGAAAAGCTAAGACTAAAAGATTTTAGGTGTAACAGATTTATGTGTCTAGTAGTCAATAAGAATTATAAAAGTGAGAAAAACTACAGTCTTAGTTTTTCCAGCCTGAGAAGAGACGTTCAGATCTCTCATCTTATTAAAAAAAAATACAGCAATATGAACAAACTCTATTACAAGTAAAAGGTTATAAAAAGCATTTATTTTTGTACCAGTTTTTTTTTTTAACTGGTACAAAACATCGATCAGATTACTTCATCAGAAAACCTGAAGAACTTGTGAATACAACTTAATCGTTTCCCACATCTTCACTGCATTAAAGTTCCGAACCCTCATTGCAGAAATACACATGAATGCAGTTACTCCGGCTTAGTTATTTTAGTTGTAACACACTTTGACACTTAATGACAGCATAAATGTTTGTTTTATGCTTTTTTTTATCATCACTAAGTTGCTTTTATTACTCTATTGTCCATCTTTTGAGTTACTCTGCTGCTCCGATGTCTCTTCGTTTGCTAAGAGATTGCTGAAAGTGGAGATACAAATACAGAGGCCTGTAACAACCTGTCACAAAAGGGACAGAGGAGCAGGTTCTTTGTATCAAGCGCAGAGACCCTTTGGGTTTTTAATGATTTCAGAATCAGAAAGGGTTTTATTGCCAAATGTTGAGCAGGTTTACAACATTAGGAAATTGCTGCGGTACTTAGCGCAAACATACTGTCAGAACCAGATTTGCTCTGCTCCCTGGGTTGACCAGCTTCTTTGTAATTTCTTAAGCAGTTATGATGAGTGTTTTCTAATCTCCATCTTATTTCTAAAATACCTAAATTTCATTTATCGGATTTCTTTTCTTAAAATCTTTAGGATCTTTCTTGTAAAGTAAAACTTGGTCACTTAACATTCCCCGTTAGCTGTTTAACTGTTATTTATAAAACCAACAGTGTGCCTTTTAAAACACTTAATAAAAGATTAAATATGATATCCGAAAGTATTCTCTGCAAAACATCCTTTAAAACTAAAAACACTCATTATACAGAAAAACTGCTCCTGTTCGTGCCAATCTTCTTGCTGCGTTATAATTGCTGAGACTTTAATGTGTGAGCTGAGTCTTTAGAATATTGTTTGGATTAAAATAAAAAAAGAATGTACAACTTCTGCATTTAAACTGTTTATAAAGGAAAGCAAATTTTGTTAAGGTAAGTGCTTGTTCTAAATAAGTAAATTAGACAAATCGCTTTTCAGGCTAATGTGCCTACAATTGATTTCCCATTAAGACATTTCTGAGCTGGATGAAAGCCAGTGGCATCTGTGCAGGTAAAGTCACTGTCTCTTTTAAAAGGAAGAGTTGGAAAATTGGATGATATTCACAGCTGCTCAAGTTATCCTTTAAAAAAGGAAATGACAGTGCATATACTATACCAAAAAAGAGAAAGAAAAAAAAACTTTTGCAGGAGAGGAACCTACAAAGGAATATCAAGCAGAGGCATATCCTCACACACAGACTCTACCTTTACGCTCTGGTACTGCTCCGCTGTGAATTTGTCCGTACAGATGGGAGCGACAGGGATGTAGGCTCGCACCAGAGCCTGGTGCTCGAGGAGGAAGGGCAGGGAATACATCCCGCTAAGGGATGGGCTGATCACCACCGCCGGGGTTAGATTCAGCTGCTCACACACCTCTTTGAGGAAACCTGCAGGGGCAGGTGTTCCCACTGCCGCCGGGGCTTTGGCCGATTTAGACTGACCAAGTTCTGTGGAGAGAGGGGAGGCACGAGAAAAGAAGAGGAGGAGAGGAGTAAGGTTTGTTGATGGACACTGACTTATTAACGTAATTACTGTCCCCAAGGCAAACATTTTCTTTTGGGCCCATGCTGCCTCAGTGATCTATATAAATTGTAGAGTGCCTGCCAGATCATCACTAGAGGCTGTCAAAGCATGAGACAAAAATACCAGATTCTAAAAACAAGCAGAACACGGGCTGTAACAATGACTCATGGAAGCAATTCAGTTCACTTCAAATTTGAGCCCCCATGCACATTTGACTTTCCAAACAAAGCCAAAGTCCTGATGCCAACTGCAAATACATATCCATAAATATAATGCAAAAAGTTAAAGTTTCACCTATGAAAATAGGTAAAACGACAGGACACAGCTAGCTTAAAAAAAGCTCTCATAAAAAGTTTAGAATATAAACAACAATAAGAAAGTTAAGAAACAGAGTTTTTGAGACTTTTTGTTGAAAAACTTACATTTTTAAAATAAAAGTTTTAAGCAATAAATTGCAAACACAAAATTAAAACAAGTTATAACTCATATATCCCAGCTGATATTTAATTAATATGTTTGTTTTTCATTTTCAGAAGGGTTAGCATAGGGCCACACAATTAGGTATTACTGTCAATAGTCCCAATTTAATATTTGCGAGCATTCAAAACAGCGAAGAGCCAAAAGTTTGACCCTGAGACTTTTAGGAGCTCTTTATGTGCCGGTGGCAGCCTGTTGCCTTGCTGCGCTTCATTGGTCATGCTGACTTTTCATTAAAAGCTGAGTGACGGAAGGAGATGGTGTTTGTTCCCTGACAAACGCACCTGGCAGGTCGATGGCGACCGCGCGGCAACCTGCTTTGGCCAGCGTCTCCAGAGTGCCGATGCTGAGCCAGTTTTCTGAAGAGAAGCGTATGCCGTGAAGAAGCAGAACCGACACTTTTGCTTCTCCTGTCACAGGTTCGCTTTGTCTGTAAAACAGTGGCGCGTTGCAGCTCTCCACCTGCACTGTACCCTCCGTCATTTTAACAGCTGCCATCCTGAACAACAACAGAAGAAAGAGAAAGCAGTTATTTCACATGGGTTTCCACACTGTTATACCTCCCATTTTTCCTTCTCTTTAACAATATTAGTTCCTTCAGGTGGAAAACCCAATCATCTTCTATGCCGCCAGTTTCTGTGAAGCTCTTCTCTTGTCTCTTGACAGAATTAAAGATCACTCCAAGAGAGGACCATATTTCTTTGCAGAGAGAGAAAGTCTTGTGGAGATGCTAAAAAATAAAATTCCCAACCATAATGGGTGTACGCCATAAAAATGCAATGATGTAACTTCATTTGCTTTGTTTTCCTTACAAAGTGCAAGCACAGAAAGATAAACTTCATGTAACTTTATGTAACATTTTTTCAGCACAATAATGATCCCAAACACACCGTCAGTCTGGTAAAAGCATATCTGATAACACGATCAGTCATGAATTGGTCTCCACAGAGCTCAGACTTCAACATTATCGAAGCAGTGTGAGATCATCACGATCGAGAAAGAACAGAACAAAAGCCGACATCCAAAGAAAAGCTTTGAATGTCATTCAAGAAGCCTGGAGAACTATTAATAGACTATTTAAAGAAGTTTGTCCACGATCCCCGTGCTTTCAAAGATCAGAGTGGACTTAATCGGATGTTCCACGGACGCATAATCAGCAGACAGAAGTGTGTGCGTAGCTGCGGGTTAAACAAGTCGGATCAAAGTCCAGATTAGATCATTTTTATTTTACATCGAACTCGCCTATCTAGGTGCTTTATGCTCATCATTCAAAACACACGTGGCGACAGAATAACAACCCCCTCCTTCCCTTTTCTTACCCGACTGTGAATCCCCGATGATTAAAGGTGCAAAACAGAGAAAGTCAGACAGGTTCTTGAACCAGCTGCAGCTTAGCTTCAGTTTATCTCCCCCGGAAAACAAGAGAAAGAGAAAAACCTTTGGAAATCGTCCTACTGACGTCTAGCGTTTGTGGCGAGAATTGCGTTCATTGTGGCAGAAAAGAAAATCACAAGTTTTCTTTTTTTTTTTCAGGATATTGAGCGTAATCCTGATGCAAATATTTATATATCTGAGGGGCACGAAGAAAGTTCATGAACAAGGACCAATGTGCCACTCCTCATTAATGATTAATACATGTATTGATCGGCTGTGTTTTGGGGATTAGGGCCACTGTTTGAGCAAAGGCGCGACGCTGGCGTGTGGGTGGTCGTGATTTAGACTTTTTGTGTGGATGTTTAACATCGTGCTGAGCTTCTGGGGGTATTTTTCTGCCTGTCAGGTCGAGCTGTTCGTTGTTTGAAGTTGACCACGGCATCAAAATAGAGGAGATTTTTAGAGCAGAGATCTCGTTTTGACCCCCATAACGTGATTATAATAGTTTTATTTTCCACCGATTCAAACAATGAAACCGTTTCTGCAGTGCATTCTCCTGACTGTCGGAGTGGTCACTGGTAAGTTTGATTAATTTCTTAGATATTCTGTCTACTTTCATTATTTTTGGTTGTTTAAATCTATTTGGTTAAAGATGAGGCCTATTTACAGACTGCCCAGATAGCAAGGAGACATTGAACAGATGTTGATTTTCCATCTGAACCATCAGAATCGTCAGGATTGAAATGTCAACACAAAACCAATGTTGAAACAACATTGAATTACTGATGAAACCTGACACTGACATTGAAATAACATTGATTCACTGTTGTTCTGTCATCGTTGATTGTTGATCTATTTATAGTTGACAAGGTGACAACAATCACGTTGAAAAACCATCGATTTATGGTTGAGGGGGAAATTAAAGCTGCACTGATGAGCACTTTCAAAACAAATAAACTATTTTAAAAGACAGCTATTTTCATTTTGACGGCACCACTATTAGTATGTGATGGATTTTATCATTTCGTTAGTGTATACTGGCAGTATCTGTGTTAACGGGGGCCTGTTTGAGTTACCAGTAGTGTAACTGTTGCTGTTCAAACCTTTTCTGGATATCTGCTGTCTCAAACTAGCAGCAGAGCGTTGGTCCAAAGGTTATATGTGTCCAGGCTCCTGCCCAAATATTCCATGTGGTGCCACTGCTCTCCAGTTAAAACCAGGACTAAACAGATGCAGATACTGCATGGTCCCCACATCAGTCTGTAAGCATTATGTTTGTGGTTTGTTATACATGAACAGGGTACCGCAGTCCTCTGAATGACTTCCAGCGCTCGGAGGGCCGAGAGCTCGTTCCTACCTCCTGGAACTCTGCTCGAGTGCAGATTTTACCAGGCCTGAACCTTGAGGACTGTGCCACACGCTGCTCACAGTCACTGGACTGCAGGTAAACAACACACTTAAACTACTTAAAGATTACAGTTTGCAAAAGGACTTTGCTTATAAATTGGCCAAGAACTTAAAACATATTCTCATAATAGATATGGATGTCATTGTCACTTTGGGAATTTGGAATTGGGCGAAAAACTTTTTTTGATATATTTTGAATTCTCTCTAATTCACACAGGGTCAAAAGTATACACCCCCATTAATAGTTAGTCAATAGAAGGTGCTTCTGATTGAAGTGCAACTTGGCAAATTGCACTTCAATTAGGGGCTTTTTTTGTTTTTTTGCCATCAACAAGCTTCTGGGCGCTGGTTTAGCTCAGTGGGTTAGCAGGCGACCATTTCCCGTATGACCGCAGAGAAGTACACCGAGGTTCGAGTCCCACAGCCCTCTCCTTGCTTTCCTGCCTCTATCCAATAAAGGCTAAAAGGCCAAAAAAAATCATCTGTAAAAGAAACAGGCTTCTGGCATAATTCTGGATCAATATTTGACCACTGTTCTTGGCATAAATGCTGGAGTTCATTTAGCTGACTTCTTGGTACGGCCAAGGCTTTTGATTTCCTTAGGGATTATTAAAGTTTTCTGATTAAGCATAGTGCACAAATTTTCAGTAGGGTTAACATCAAGGCTTTGGAAAGTCCATTCCAGAAGCTTAACGGAGCCATTGCCAAACAACTGCACATTCTAAGATCATCAGTTTAAACAACTGCACATAAGTACAAGCTTTTCTGATGTGTCACAATTTTACTAAGGTCCAGAACAATACCTAAACTCTTATCCTTAGATGAAAGGAAATTAATTAGGATGTTCAGAAGCAACCCAGGAACCGCCAAGAACACCTGACTCACCGTTCACAGTTATATCGCCAAGGACTGAAACAGTGTCAACCAAGAAAGAAGCCCCCGTTTCAAAATTGACGCTTTCATGCTGACTGAGATGTGCAGCTTTCCATACAGACGAGCCAAATGCCTTCTCGATTAAAGTTTTATGGTTAGGTGATACAGAAATTTAGCTGTTTGGCTAGTATGACAAAGAGGAGAAGGTGGTGCTAGCATCCTCTGGTGCTGTTTTACTGCCAGTACAACTGACACATTGCAAAAAGTGGATGGAATAATGAAAAAGGCAGACTACCACCAAATTCTTCAGCTCAAATTAGCAACTAGATGGTTGAAATTACCAGCAGGACAAACTCACATGAAAAGTTTTGGAAGGATAAAGCAGGCTGACATTAAACTTCTGGAATGTTTTTCCACAACAAAGTCCTGACCTCCTAGACTATAAAAATTTGTGGACTATGCTTAAAAGCCGGATCCGTGCCAAGAAACCAACCAACCATTCTGAATGAGCTCTACCAGTTCTACCAAGCAGAGTGGTCAAATATTCAGCCAGAATTGTGCGAGAAACTTGTTGATGGAAACCAAAAGCATCTGGTTGAGGTGCAACTTGCTAAGGGACATTCAACCAAATATTAATGGACTCAGGGCTTTGAGAAAATCTAGAGTCAATTAAAACCTGTGCACCCAATTCTTGTTTTTTAAAGCCATTAAAGATGTATGCTGCACAACCTTTCCACCCTGGAATGAATGTCTAGCCTTGTAGATATTTATTAGTAAAAGGCTAGATGATGTGAGGCTTTCCACCACAGAATGAGTCCTTATTCAGTCTGGACTATCAACATTGTCATTGCAGCTTCTTTCCCCATAGTTTTGCCATCTTAAGACTAGAACAGTAGATAATAATGGCGGGCCATTACTATCTACTGATATTAGGTAATTGCCAGCAACATCGACATTTATAAATGCCAATAAATTTAAAAGAAAGAAGAAGAAATGGGAGAAACACTCTTCAAACACATCATGTTGCTGTTTCATAGTTTCTAAATATGAACTTAACTGTCTGCAACACATGTTTGGAGCACCAGAAACACAACAAACAGTGAATTGTGTCCCTGAAAGAAAAAGAAATCAACCGATATATCAGAATAGTCTTAAATGATTAAATATTGGTATTGATATCAATATTAAAATCTGTATCTTTACCAATCGGGGTCTAGTTAAGACAGCATTTATTTAATAATGCTGACACAGATATGTCGGCAATCAGCCGACATGTCATCCCTGCCAGTATATCAGTCGGGCTTTCATTATACTGTCTGTTAAATGTTAAACATAATAGTCTTAAAAATAACTTTAAAATGTTCACTGATTAATTTAAAAACACTTTGCAGACATTAGGTTTATCCTCTGAAAGTAAAGAGCTTTGACGTGAAAATATTTCTCAACATTAGAGCTTTCAACTATGAGACTCGTCCAGTTGTCACCTGTAAACATCTGCCCTGGGTGGGTGATGGCACCAATGCAGAAGTGAAGAGAAACGTGAACTGTGATCTTTATGAGAAGAAGGGTAAGACTCACATCGGTGATATCACAGAGATCAGTGCTTCCCATCGATACTGTAACCACTGATTGCTTTTTTTAATGCAGTCTATGTAAGGAAGTGCATTGTGGGTAAAGGGGAAGACTATCGAGGCAAAGTGTCCACCACAAGAAGCGGACTCACCTGCCAACAGTGGTGGTCCAAATTTCCTCACGATCACAGGTGAGTTACATCTTCACTGTACTGGAAAAAAACATTGTGAAGATAAAGTGCTGCATTTCACTTTCAGTTCAGAGGTGAACAACAGCACAGCTCTATTTATAATTATTTTCCAATTGTGGGAGAGAGATGAAGAGGTGGGAAATTCACGATGAAGAAACTTTCCTGAATAACCATGTCTTTCATTTCCCTTAAAGCCAGACTGAAGGCAGAAAGCCAGAGTGCATTACTGCTCGTACCCCTTTCACTGTTGTGGTATCTGTAAATTTCACTGTTTTTAAGCCTTATTTCCACCAGTGTGGGTGCCTGTTTTCTTCAGAAAAACTGATAAGCAAAATATCATAAGCAGTCTTCAGAGCAAAGTAAGGAGCCAGATCTTTTCTCTGTACCTGACGGCGATTAAATCGTGATGAATATCTGAGTAATAGCCGTCAGGTGGCCAGCAGTTCTCTAACTACACCACCGTGAAGGAGGTGTACAGGTGTGCCTGATAAAACTGCAAATGATAGCAGATTTACATGTGATAACCAAAACAAATTTATGTCAGATATGTGTACTCTTCAGCTTGTAAAAATCCATTAATACATCTGTAAGTGTTTAAGATTGAACCCAGTCGCTTTCTGTCATAGTTGTCTGAATCCATCCCTCGGGCTTAAGAACAGCTGCAGCGTCTATATTATTCATCCACACTAGAAGTTGACACTCCCAGATTTCGGAGTTGTCACTTCAACTGCATTGTTTGTTTTATTTTTAAACGACCAGTTTTACCAAAGTGTTTGACTAACTGAAAATTATTTTTTTTTCTCAGGTGGACTCCTACAGCTACCAATGGTCTGGAGCTGAACTACTGCAGGAATCCGGATGGGGATCGGATCGGTCCGTGGTGCTACACCACCGACCCGGAGCGACGCTATGAAAGCTGCAACATTCCCCAATGCAAAGATGGTACATCCCATAAATTACCACACATCATCCTGCTTATCTAAACTGCAAATGTGAGATTTGTAAAGCTTTACGTAAGCTTTATTTCCTCCAAATGTCTCGTAATTAGCACTTTAATTTGGTGGAACTGGAAAACTTGTTACTCGTTTTTTGGCTTACCTGCTGATAGCAGTGCACTTACAATAGTTACTGTTTCAAGTTGCCTCATGAATAGCTTCAAGTTTCATTCTTTAAATGTGCTTTAAGAAAATTATTCAGCAATTATAGAAGCTGTTAAAAAGTGCTGTTAAAAAATGTGTGTTTCTCTTTACTTCAAGCATCTTTCACTTTGTGAGTCATTCTGCTTGCAGAGGTGTGCATCACGTGTAATGGAGAGGACTACAGGGGCCAGGTTGACCACACTGTGAATGGCAGAGAGTGTCAGAGATGGGACCAGCAGTACCCTCACCAACACATCTACCAACCTGAAAAGTATGCAATCATTACTACTGTTTTGTTTGCACCTGAGTTAGCATTGCACAACATATTTTGCTGTTGCACCTGAACTATTTAAGTCATTTCTTTTTTCCATTTCCAGGTGATTAAAAACCTGCCTATGTGTATTTTTCAGGTACCCTGATAAGAGTTTAGATGACAACTACTGCCGTAACCCTGATGCCTCTCCGGTGCCTTGGTGTTACACCACTGACCCTGAGGTGGAAAGGGAAAACTGCGACATCAGCCGATGTAGTAAGAGCTTGCATTTATTGGACCTTTACTGGACCAACTCCTATAGTAGAGTCTTTACTTTTACTTTTTCAGAGAGAGGAAAAAGGAAAGGCAAAAAGTCTCCATCCTTTCTTTCTTCTCCAAAATTCAGTATCTGTTTATAGGCAAAATTGCTGGCTTATACAGCAAGTAAGATAATTACTAGATGTTACTGTAATGTTTTCTCTCACTGTATAAATTTACTGGATTAAACTTGTGGCTTATTTGTTTGTTCTGTTCTTGTCAGTGGGTCCCTCAGGCAAGAAAGAGGAAGCCAAATTGATTCCTGTAGTACTCTGAGACGGTGGGATTAGAGAGTCTCATTAAGTTGCTGTAATTAAATCGAGAAAAATCACCTTTTCTGTGTTTGTACAAATTGCGTTCAGAAATGTGAGACATTTCAGGGCAGACGATGATTCTCTTTAAACGAATCAATTTAAAAAAGTGTTTTTTCATTGATTTAAGGCTGTATAACAGGCTGTGTTTGCCAGATATAGTGGCTTCAGTTGTAGT